ACGAGTGTAGCGTAATCGGGATAGTTGCATATGCCGAGGAACCCTCTCAACTACTTCAGATTGCGGGCGGCTTGAACTTTATAATTGATTCTATTTTCTCTGGATTGATTCTCATTTGATTTTCGATTCTATATCCCTATAACTTGATTTCCCAGAATTTCCATAACATTTCGCCTATTGCAATCGGCGCATCGTATCGGACACAATGGTCTCATTTAATTTCCTGGCATCGAGACAGATCCTAACACCTCCATCTTTTTTCCTTACAATAACCAGTGGATTAATATTGGCGGTCGATTTTCTTTCAATGATGCTGTCTCTAATTATAACTGCAATGACGCGGTCTACGTCCGCCTTCAGTACCTGTGGTATAGGGTAACTTATACACTTAAATGATTCGGGGCATGTGACCTGAATTCGGAACTGAAAATCGGGGATGAGATCATTTGGCCTTACAAAAACGTACTTATAATTTCTCATCTGGAGTCTTTTTAATAGCGGGTAGTCATACATGTTCATATTGACAAGCAGGGTCGAGGTAGAAAACATTTTTTAATTAAGAGTCATGGTCAGTGTTGCCATATCGGCGGAATTCCCGCCGTTTTCAGCGTATTTTGAACTCGTACGGTGGAAAAAAAATAGTTTCGTGGACAGTGGAATAAACGGCGGAAATTAATTTGAATTATTTTGAACTCGTACGGCGGAAAAAAAATAGTTTCGTGGACAGTGGAATAAACTGTGGAAAATATGCGGAATTTCAAATCTTCACTATTAAGGCCTAGACACATATAGCATGATCGAGCAGAAACATTTTAAAATGATAATAAAAGACAGACAATTCAGTCCACTTAAGTGCGTCCTTTATTATTATTATTTGAAAATATTGGTGCTGGAATGCGCCAATAACGACGGCTATGACCAAGAATAAGAAATTGTCCTTATCTATTTCATGCATTCATATGCATTTGCCCTTTTCTATCCGGCACTTCATGCGGGATAAAAAAGACAGTTGCTTTATCCTTCGTCGTAGTCTAGTCGTGAGTTCGTGTGCTAGCCCTTATGGCGTATTTGATTAGCTTTCAGATAATATATTAATAAAGGACAGACAATTCAGTTCACATAAGTACATCCTTTACTAATATTTTTTCTGAATGCTAACCGAATACGGCATTAATTTCGTTACATTTGTTTACGTTTAAAAGCATACAAGAAGTTTTAACAACAGAAGGGACATTACGTTTCTTTTTTATAGGATTTTACTTTTAATTTTTATATTAGTTCAGTTGAAAATCAATTTAAAATTATTTTTACAGTAGAAGATAGATTTTCCGGGCTGGTAGGCCGTGGTCCAGATGGCTTTTCAATGACAACTGGACCACGGCCTACCAGCCCGGAAAATCTATCTTCTATTTACTCCGGCCGTGAAAGCATACGACACCTTATTTTTACAATATTTCTATTTCAAATGAAAAAAGAAACAAAATTAAAATTAATTTAAAATTCTTTATTTTTTGCGTTTTCAAATTATCTTTCTGAAAACGCCATCCGATGGACTAATTAATTGATGAAATGAAAATGAATCAGGCTGTTATCATTAAAATAGCAGTAAAAACATAGTAAAAATTCAGGCAGCGCGTGATGTAGCGATGTTACTTAAAAGGTATTAAATATATTATCAAAAATACAAATACAAAGTATCGAATTTTACAGCGACTTTCTCCCAAATGGTAAGAGGACACATGCGACAAAGATTTTATAGCCCTTTATGTACCAAACTTAGGACACTTAGGCTCGAAAGTAAACATATGCGCGTGACACTTAACAACAAACACATAAATTTTCTAAACATTTAAAGAATTTAAACATTAACCCTCACCTACATTTATTGTAACTATATTGTTAAGTATTCCTTCGAAGGAAACTGTCAGGATTTTCGTTATCATTTCGTAAGCTAAAACTGTTACGCGTCGGTAGTTCGTGTTATTATATTGATGCAAATAAACGGTTAATTAATAATGCCAAAAGAAAAGGGACAAAAGTTTCAATAAACGTGCCGTAAACAATGACTAACAGAAAATATTTTAAAGGACTGGATTATGGAGATTGCAAATAATCCTCAAAAAATTCGATGCAGGTAATTATTTTAACGGACATGGATTAGTTTACATAAATACACACAGAGAAGTGTTTTGTTGATTCAACAAAATAATTTTATTTTTATTTAAGCGTCAAAACTGTTTTGTTAAATCATAAAATTATACCTTCATCATAAATGCTTTGTTGATTTCACAAAATGTTGTCAAAAAAAAATCAACAAAACCATAGTTTGTGCTTTTCAAGCAGTTGAAGCAACGCTTACCTGATAATATTGAAACGTTAGAAACTATGTTTACGTTATCAATAAAAAACTGTGTGATAAAACCTGTGTAATAAAATCTAAATTCACTCCGCCTTTCAATTTTCGCAGTATGTCCAACGATTTAATTGCAGAGATTGATTTCCAATATGATTGCGTTTATTTGATCAGTTGGAATGAAAACGAAAGCACTGTCTCATTTTGGAATGAGGTGAATAATTATGTCGACGCTGCTGGAGTAAAACCTTTCAAAGAATGATCCGATTTTGCTCTTTCCTTTTTGGTTTTACCACATTCAAATGCCGAAATAGAGAGGATAGTCAGCCACGTGAAAGTGGTTAAAAATAAGCATAGAAACAAAATGAATATTGAATTATTAGACGCGATTTTGTCAGTACCTGTTGGTCTAAAAAGGGCGGGGAACTGTTGTCAGAATTACTCGTCCCCACCTGAAGTTTTAAAACAGATAACTCAAAACGTATGAATCCAAGAAAACAAGTGATAATGCGAACGATGTTGACTTATCAGTTTTCGTTAACCTTTAGTAATAAGTTGTTTTGCACAGATTTATATTTTTAAAATTTCTAAATCCGTGTTACTAGCAAGAATAAATAATATAATACTTATATAATAAATTATATAAAATTTTCACCCAAGTAATGCATTCTACATTATCTAAAAATTGAATTACAGGTTCAATAAAGCCACTATATTTCGCAATCATATTTTTGTTTTAATAGAATAAATTAATAGAACAAATTAATAGAACATTTAAATATGGAAAAATAATTTATTTTATGTTTAGCGGATTTAGGCGGGAAATTTAAAACCAGTTCAGCGGATTTTCGGCGGAAACTGAAACGAACATGGCGGAATCCCTCTAAACACATCTGGCAACACTGGTCATGGTGCTGGCTATAAAAAAACAACAACAAAAAAACACACTTTTATATGTTAAGAACAGGAGGAGTAGAAATGTACATACTTGATAGATAGTATACAAATGGACTGATAACATATTTCAGAGAGAGAGAAAAAAAAAATTAAGTAATTCTCACATCCTACCACATATTTTGTTGAAAACAGAATGAAATCTTGAAACACTCAAAGTGGCAAAACAATAGTGGACCCTTCGCAAGAAAGTCACAACGATTTCAGACAAGATCCAGGAAGTTTATACAATCTAACTGACAATGAGCTTTTAGGAGCAATCAAAATCAAATGGTACTTTAAATGGCATTGAATTTGATGAAATTGAAATTACAGGCTGTAATCAATCTAAATAGTAATTCTGCAACTGGTTCTGACAAAATTTCAACCATCTTGTTAAGAAATTGTAACTTGTCTCCAATACTGAAATCTGGAGTTACGAGGTACACTAGTTAGTATGACAATATATTTCTCAAAGATAAAAACAAATCAAAATTATGTAGAATTAGTATTGTATATTTTGCAATAATGCTATTTATGAATAAGTTTAATTGTTTGTCCTCTAGTTTGAATATTGTGGATATATATATATATATATATACACACACACACACACACACGCACAATCTAGTACCATATTGTATCTTGCAATAAATTACTAATATTTTCTCCAAGTTTTCAAGAGAAAATGAATGTCTCTTATTGGTCAGGATCATTTTCTTTCAGGGAAATTCAATTGCTTTATCTTAGAAGCAGATGAAGTCTGGAGACTTTAATTGCAAGATCCTTGTCCTGTGTATTCATTTCTCACCATCTTACAGGGGGCAAGATGGGACAAGGGGACAAATACAGTTTAGGTTTTCAAATGTAACTTACAATTAATATCATCCTTGCCTTTGTGCAGACACAGAAAAAAAAAGTTAAAAGAAGCTACATACAAAAGAAATAAGGTAAATTAGTTTCTTTTAAGTTTTTAAAAGTAAAATAGGAACAAATAGGCATTAATGTTGAAAGAGACTCTTTTAGGCACCATAAAATTGATTGGTTTTAGTTAACATGAACCTAAAATGTGTATATAAAACCTTATTTACTACAAGGTACCCTGGAAAAAAAATGGCTTTTTACCTAATATCTGCAGTCTGAATATAATATTAACATATTTTCCAGATTGGTGCATCTACTACTTCAGGTGAAAGTAAAAGGAACATATAAAATATTTTAAAGTAAACATTTTAATTAGACATCATACATAAAAGTTATGAAAATTAAGTAGAAAATAAGGTAGATTCGTACTTCATGTTTTTGTGAAATTGTTTATAGAATTTTGAGTGATTAATCTATCTTGATTAATAAATAAATACTTAAAATCATATTTGTGAATTTTTATTATGTAATCTTTCTCTGCTTACTTATGATAATTCATAAGTTATATTTGCATTAAATAATGGTTGATACATAAAATTATGAAAGTAGGTGCTTTCTGAGCAAACAGATTTTCCAAAGTGTAGAGATCGTAATATCCAAAATTAAAGCAATGTGTTTGTTGAAATTTTCTCTTAATGTTGTATAGTGCACCACAAACATAGTAGATGTGGTAGTTGTTTTGTGACTAATAATTTGCGATTTTGATATTTGACTTGCTAGAAAACCAATGATGAAATTAATTATTTTACTAAGGGGTGACTTTATTGTGATATTTTTGATTGTTGTGCAGAGAGCAGTATTACAATTGCTTGCAAGATGCTTGTTGGTATCGATATGAACATGATTGGAAAAATGAGCTGGAGAGGTCTCGGTGCAGTGGTTGGAGAATCTCATTAGCAAATGAAAGTTTTCATTTGTCAACAAGGTGTGTCATTAATATTTTACAATATTAAATTCTTATTTATTTGTACTGCTTAATTTAAGAAATGTTACGAAGACAGTAATTGGGACTATTTTTATTAAATAAGACATATGTGTAGTACAGTGTGTTAAGATTAAATCAATCTTTGAAAATAATTTCAAACCAGGAACAAGTTCATATGTGGACAACTCAACCCTTGTGGTTATGTGGTTTTGCACATGCCAGTTCCAATTTATGAGGCATACATTGCCAGTAATCCTTTACTTTTAGAGCTAGGATCAATAACCAGTAGGGGTCTTCTGGATATTCAATGAATATTTTTATATTAAGTAATCATAGTCACATAAGTTTCATGACGTTCATGTTTGTTCAGTGTAACTTTAACAAATCCACTAATGTAATGAAGTAATTGCATTAATTGATACATATTGAAATGATTAATATTTAAATATTAGAATGTTGTGCTGTGTGGTTAGCATGCCGCAGTGGCTGGTGGTGCCAGTGACAGTGATGGACTGGCAGCTGACAGATGCAGCCCGACATTTCCGTGGAAGCCGGCCACCTGTGTGGTGCTGGGGCACAAAGCAAGGTGCTGCTCTCGTGCGAATGGCCGATTTGCTGCCTACAATTACTGAAAGGTCTGTGACAATTCTACTCATTGTGTTGATTTTATTACACCCAGGTCTTGGTGTTTTGTACTCCGTGAATATCATGAGTGTTGTTATAAAAAGAAAGGGCTTATATTTTAAAAATAATTATTCATTTGTCCATTCCTTCTAGAAATTTGTTTTTCATAGGTTGTGTTATCTGTGAAGGAGATAACCTTAGAAACAATGTGTGCATGAAAGTGCATTAAAATCAATCATATAAATTTCTAAAAGTTTAGACCCAAACACTGATCCCTCTGGAACCCCACTGAGGACATTACCTTGATCTGATAATTCTTTACCAGATCTAACTTTAAATTTTTAATCTGTCAAGAATCTTGTATACGTTTTAGAAGATTTTTCTTAGTGGACCAACTTTGCAAGAAACAGTAAATGTATAACACGACCCAATTCTTTTTTGAAGTCAGAATACATTACATCAGCTCACGACAATCAATAGGTTGATAATCATCAAAATATTTAGTTCATTCAAACAAATCAACAAGTTGGTTGTGGATGATCTATCTAGTAGGAAACCATTACACTTCATTTTTCAATGTGATTGTCCATGACAGGCCTGTGCCTTGTTCAGACAGGATTGATAGCAACTTCAAACTTATAAAGAAATTGTTGAACTGGAAATTGTTTGGAGCCAACTTGATTTCTTATGTAGCACCACTGCTGCTCCAAGTCCGTGTTTCTTTCAGAGGAAGTCGAGAGCTCTTTGTGCCTTGATACAGCTCAGATGTGATCAGATAGCCCTGTTGCGATGCAGCGGACCAAAGCTTGTAGCCAAAATGAATAATCTTGCCATTGATGTGATGGTTGCCATTGTTTCCCATAGTATGGCACCATTGTTTCAATTGAAATCTGACTTGATTTCAATTTTCAAATTCTTTTCTAAAGTTGCTATTTAGAAGATTGAAATAGTGCCTCACTTTGTCAATCTCATCTTGAGGCAAATTCGTTTAATAAAATGAAGGTATTCAGAGGAAAAATTTTTACATCACATACTTGACATCAATTCATTGAGGACATCTGCTATCACCGAATACTTTCACATACGTTGATGGGACATATAAACCTGTCAGAAGCAGTATAGCGATGAATACGTTTATGTCATCTTCATCTATTTCTATATTGTGGTTGTGCTGCATCATGTAGAGATTTCACAAATTATTGAAACAATCTCTTTACTAAACATCAGTTCTAAGTATTTAATCAAACTTGTTGGAGAAGTAAAATGTTTGTTAGCCAACCAGTTCCAGTGCAAGACTTGTTTTCTTTCATTTCTCTATCATTTCTTCTTTTCACTTGGCCTGCTATGTTATCTTCTTTTTCTCCATTCAAAATATCCTGATTGAACTGGGAGTGGTTGTTAACTTCTACTGTTGATCATAGCATTTGGTCAGATTGGTGATTCATATTAAATATTTTTAATATTTTGAATTTTATTAAATATTTAAATATTTTATTAAATATTCAAATATTTTGTAGTGGTCTCTTCATGAGTGGTGGTGCCATCTTCTGGAGGAAATATCACAACTTTGTTGATGTCATCTTCATTATCATTCTCAGGAATATCAAGAATCTCATGCAGATTCAAAGTGTAGGGAAATAAGAGCAGAACAAGGTTCAACAGATGTCTTTGCAAAAATAATATTTGTATCTAAATAACAACTATATTCATACAAACAACTATATTCCAACAAAACAACTATATTCATAGACCTAATGAATGTGTTACGTAAATATGTATGATACCCTAGAAATTCTTGAGAAAGCAAAAATGTGTATTATATATTCAAATGAAAGTAATAAGTAATAAACCGCTATGAAGATACTCTGAGAATATCAGAAAAAATCTAGTCTATTTATTTGTTGATGTATCCCTAATTTCCGATGTCACCTACAGGATACACGTAATTCTGTTTTGCTTTTATAAAACCAACAATGAAAACAAAACATAAAAATGCTGTTGTTATAATCCTTAGAATACAGAGGAAATAATTTTCAGAGGAAATAATTTTCAGAGGAACATAAAACACTGTGTTTTGAGCACAATTCTTTGCATGTGTACTCTTCCGTGTTATTCAAGTGGCTGAATAGCCACAAATGCACAGTTTCCATTGCAGAGAAGTTCTTTGAATTCCAACTGGTGCTCTTATTGGATTTCTAAGAATCACAGGAAATAGTACAGACCTCTACAAAAGTCCTAACCCTGTAGGTGATATTGTGAATTTACGGGTTAAAATAAATTAATTTCACTGGTGTGATTTTTTTTCTCACAGGACACAGGAAAATACAATGCTTGAACATGTCCGGAAGTCTCATCCAACTCGAAGACAGCCATTGTTGCTGGACCTGGGAAAAGATTTGCCAACTCCTCGAGATGTGCAAACAAGTTTCCTCAAACTGAGAGATTTGTGTGCTCCTGGTGAGTCGAGAATTCTGATATTCTTACGTTATGCATATCATTCATCAATTTATCAAAAATTATCAAGTTTGTTGTTATCACTTTTATTTAGGTGCATTGAATTATCATAAATACTCGTATGACTTGGCTTTTAGAAAAACTGAAATACAATATTTTTCTCCTCTTGAAAATTCAATTTATTGTAACAATGGAGAAATATTATTCCAAATTAGATCATAAATTGTACTGTGTTACAAATATTAGAAAATCATTGTTAAGTCCATTTTGTGTATTTATTTATTATACATATTGTGTCTGCTAATGTCCAATTTCTATAAAGTTGATTCATATAAAAGTATATTAACTAAAATTGTTTAGTAACTAGTGTTTTTACAAACTTTTTTAATTGATAAGTTATGTAAAATATAAATTTAATTTATCAGAATTTGAGTTTCTACACATCTTCCACAATGGTGCATGATAATGTAATGCTTTTACAAATGCAACGTTACACAAAATATGATCAGTAAAATGTAGTATACCGATAAGAGACGTTTTAGGACTACAAGAATACAGCTTCCTACAATACACATCGTCATTCACAAGGCAATATAACAAAGATAATTCGTACGTATGTGAATTCAAGTAGTTAATATTCACGCGCCTGCCCGCCCGCCCGCCATTGGAAAAATTTCATTGTGAAAAAAGTACTTTCAGTGCATAATTGTAGTGTGTAAATCACCCCTGTCTGATTTTGAGAGCCCTTCAAGTGATCGAGACTCCACAAAGATTTACACCAATTTCAAGAGATTTGATAGAGCAAGGAAGATGGAGGGTTGGCGATATTTAGTGACAGAGCATACATATTTTTGGGAAAATGTGAAAATGAACTAGAAACAAATTTCCAAGAAAACATTCATAAAATTAAATGAATTAAATGAAGAGAATTATTGGTTGAAAAATAGAGGAAAATAAGAAAATTCCCTATTGAATATTGGTTACTTTAAAGATGTTTGTAAAAGTAAGATTGCATTATATAATGAAATTTAATAATGAGAAAATGCAAACAAAATGTAGGAATTCCAAAATATTAAAATTTAATCATTTTGAATGATCAAGATTCATTGTCAGTTAGTAAATACTATGTTAATCCTGATTTATACTATTTTACCACTTTTAATTTATTATCATATTCCGATTGTAATTATTTTCAAACTACCATTGTAAGTTCTGGGTGTAGAACCCCCATCTCAATCAAGTTTTTCTTAGTTTTCCTTGATTCATAGAGCAAATGCTGAGATTGACCCGTGTTTTGCTTTTGCACAGTAAATGTAGATTTTATTCTCCTCACTCTTTGACAGTAATAAATTGTATGTTATGATAAACTTGGAATGATTGTTTTATTATGTATACACCAAAACTTTTTAGATGTTATGCACAAACCAGCATGCTGTTTTAAAACTGTTCTAAAATTTTAAGCATTAAGAACTATGAATTACTAGGCGAGACCCCTGTTATCTCTTATCGCGCTAAAGACACGCTGGCTAGACACCAGGAACGCTAGTGTCAAATGGATGAAATCTTATCCCATTAGAACTTTGCAACTGTTATACTAAACTGTGATTGTGTCATGTAATTCAGTACATTGTGGTCTGAATTTGTATTAAAAGGTTAGAGAAGAAAATTTAAAGAAAATATTGTTTTCAAGATGAATTTAGCTGCAAATTAACAACCACATTGCAGCTCTGTAAAGTTGTATTTGTGTGCACTGTGATCAATAGGTTGTATTTCTCAAGAGCTTCTCTGTTACGGTGATGCATGACCTATAAAGCCATATGTACCTAAACAAATTATTCATGTAAGTCATAATTGGAAAATGAATTCCTTTTTGGGACATGTAAATACATGACAAGAACTAGTGATGCTACAGAATGGCACTGACTTTCTCGTAGTAAAGTTTTCTAATTTCCTTGGTGTGGACTAGCTTTACAGTCTTGCCCATCCTTTTGCCATCTATCGTTATCTGTCGATGCCCTTCTGCCATCTATCGGTTTCCTAATAGAACCGAAATATTGCTTTAAGAAAATTCAAAACGAGTAAAACCTTATCATAAATGGCAATTTTCATTGAAAAGTTTGGACCTAAGATAACAGCATTTAAGAACAACTGTAAATGCGATATTTGAAGCATGTTTTCTCAGCAAATTTAACACTTTAACTCACAAATGCATTAGAGTTTACAAATTGAAATGTGCATATTAACAGTGTAAAAAATATTTAAAAGAAAAATACATTTGTGTAATTTTTGAAAAACCAAAAGAATATCTCAAAATGAACTTCATAATTTTCAACAGTGCAATTAGCACTACCTATTCTAAAAGTTTGAAGAAAAAGGCCGGCGGGGGGGTGGGGTATATACTCCGTATGTATGTACATATAAGAGAAAGTAAAAAGCAATAAAATTCATGGAAGGTTGAATTTTGTGAACTTACAAAAGTAAATTTGAAGATAATTATATATTTAAACTGGTAATTTTTTTATGTATTTTAATATACCATTAATTTTGTTGACTAGATAATTTGCGCCAATTTCAAATTCAAGAAAAGGACTTCCTAACGCAGCTGGAGAGTTCTCGTTGGCTTCATCTAATTTCTGCTTGTTTGCATAAGAGTGTAGATGCTGCTGAAGCAATGCAAAATGGTAGCACAGTTGTTTTACAAGGTAATACCATGACAAATAAAGAAAATTAGACATTCATGTGGTTTGTGTCATATTATTGTGTTTTGAGACGTATAATTAAAACTAAAGCAAGTTTCATTGTCTCCACAGTCGTCGTCGTCGTCGTCATCATTGTCATCATCATCATCATCATCATCATCATCATCATTATTATTATTATTACTATTATTATTACTACTATTATTATTACTACTGCTACTACTACTACTACTATTATTATTATTATTATTATTATTATTATTATTATTATTATTATTGTCATGTCATGTTAAATTTTTAAATCAATCAGAGACACGCTATTTTTATACAATTTTTTTTTTATTGTAGAGTTTGATGGCCGTGATATGTGCTGTGTGGTTGCCAGTCTGGTACAATTAATTTTGGACCCATACTGGCGTACTTGTGTTGGCTTTCGCACTCTTATACAGAAGGAGTGGATTGTCATGGGTCACCCATTTTGCAGTCGTTTAGGTCATGTGTATCGGTCGGAGAATGAACTGGTATGCCTATAATAACTGAATTATAAACAATTTATTTATTTGAGGTAGCTCTTGAAATTAATAATGCAACCAAGAGGCTTTCAGAAATATTGATGACTTAATGGATTCTTCAAGAGATTATTATTTACTCTATCAATGATCAACTTTCTAGGAAATGTAAAATTTCTTTCCTTCAGTGTTGATATGATGAACAAATTCAGAACCTTAGTAATAAAATCAATTGTCTTTATGTGTAGGCTCCGGTGTTTCTGATTTTCCTGGATTGTGTGTGGCAGCTTACTCAACAATTTCCCTCGGCCTTTGAATTCACTGAAACATTTCTCACTACTTTATGGGATTCTGCTCATGTATCCATCTTCGACACCTTTCTCTTTGACTGTGAAAGAGATAGGCTATTGGCTGTAACGGTGAGTATATTTTTAATTTGTACATTTTGTTTGCAAAGTAATTATTTAAGTAAGTTCTCTGCCTTTCTATCCATCCCTCAAGTCAGCCTTGGCTGTGTAAATGCAGACATTTATAGAAATGAATGTACATGATACATGTATCATTATGTACTGTAGTGTTTGTCTATGTGTTGTTTGAGATGTGCCATGTTAATACAGAGCTCTTTATGTAGATTATTTAGAATTCCATGTAACTTCAGTGTTTCTTAAATCAGCAAAACCCTTGATTTGATTGATAAAGAAGATAAATATTTTTGAGGAGAGTAATTGATATTTCAATGTCTTTCTATAGGATCCTCACAACCCTTTGGTGCTGCGATCTGTCTGGGATTGGGGAGAACAGTTTCCTGAGCCTAGGGATGTGGCCCTATTTACAAATCCTCTGTTCACTTGCTCTGAACGTAGAATGCTACGTCCTCGATGGGTTTTACCTGATATATCGCTGTGGACTCAATGTTATCTGAGGTGGATTCCCATGTTGGAAATCAGGGGTGGCGGACATCCGCAGGTAAGATAGCCGAGGTATTGTTGATGACGATTTTGTGTGTTAAAATTTGTAAGGGTTTTTATTTTAACAACCTTTGTGAATCAGTCCTCATTTAAATTTTGTTGTTTCACTTTTATGCTTAAACGCAGTTGTAAATCTTACAAATGTTTTTTACAAGATTAGATTTGAAGAGTATGTAATTGGACATTTAAAATACACAATGTACATGATGTAATGTATCCCAAAGGCAAAACCTGTATGTGAACCTATTAATCTTTGAATTATCCAGATTATCTAATTTTGTTTTTCACATTTGGCCCACATAAAGGTTTTACATACACTTATACAGTGAAACTCCGTTTATAAGTTTCTCACTTATTCGTCCCGGATAAATTGCTATAATTCAGCTAAATTATTTCAGTTATGTTTTTTTACACTTATATGTTTCGGTTATACTTATTTTACACCTACACGTTCATAATGAAAGCCCCATTAATACCGTATACCTTTCAAATGATCCCGGTGAGGCGCGGGGCGATTGCGCCGAGAGCACAGAACTTGTAATATAGGAGCAGAACGCTAATGAAACTCGTAATATAGAAGCTCGGCTCGTTTATAGAAGCCGAGGGGCTAAGACCGCGCGAGCCCGTTGGATGGTAGCGTACAGTCCGCTGCCGGGCTACATCCGGCAGGTGAAGTTGCAAAAATTTCCGAGTCGGGTGCGTATGGGAGGACTCTGAGGAATTCAGGAAGCGACGGCTAGCTGCGAAAGCAGGTCAAAGGCATCACTGGAAGAGAGAGTAACGACGTAGATGACCAATAAGTGCGGAAGTTTGTGCACAATCTTCCCTACTCCCTGAAGGCTCTTTTACTCGCTGTAATAACATACGAGATCCTTTCGGTAGCGGTATGGCACAAGCAGCTACTGAAGCTGATTGCTTTTTCGCACGGCACGGTGGGTGTCGCCAGGCAATGGAGCTGGAAATGGAACAGTCGTGCCCTTCCTGTTGCCCCGTCAAACACTGTTCTCTGCCTGCGGAACATTAACATTGAGTAACATTAAGCTTGAAACCGAAACAACCAGCCGCGGGTCGCCGCCACCAGTTGTAGCCCCACAGAAAATAGTCTTTGATCCCGCAGTGAAACACAAGGTCATCAGTAAGGTCCCCATTGGGTGTCCATTACCTCCACCTCAGGGGAGGCATTTTTGATGATGACCTTTGGCCGATATTTTTGCCAAGCTGACCAGCATTATAAATTGTGGCTCTGAGGTGATGTATTTTTTCCAGGAACATGTATAAGTTCACTATAGCAGAGATTCAGAGTTCACTACAACCAAATCTTCTTGGGCTTGTGTGAAATGTAAGTGGAAAAGGACCAGTGGCCTAATTGCACAGTTGGTTGCTTGACAGTGTGTCAGTTTGCTAGTGACGCTCTGTGTTCAATTTTGGATCTTTTGGGTCTGAGCTGGTGAAAATAATAGTGCTTAATCCTCCAATAGGCACACATAGGTCAAGTGGACCAACCCATTGCAATTTAAGAACTAAATATCTCACTGAGTTGAAGGTGTAAGTTTACATCTGACAACATCCTGTGAATCTTTGAGCATATTTGAAATCCTTGAACAATTTTGCATCTGGTAGTAAGGACACCACCAGGTAAGTTGGAGGTGATAGGTCGTGTAGTCCTTCTTTCCTTTGGTGTGTATTATGTGGGATTGCCAAACGTCACGTGCCTAATGACATCACATGTAGAAAGACTTGGGGCCATAATGTTGTGTACTCTTCTTAATTGCATGCGTTTTTCCTGTGTTTGAAAGGTGATAGAAAAACATAATATATTCCTCTTATTATATCGGGTGATCAGTTTAAAATGGAACCCATAGCAGGCCAAGCGAATTGCACTGGCAACTATGTTTGAGCAGGTTGGATGGCAGCTGGCTATTTCAAATGTTAGGAAGTACTCTTTAACCTTCTCACCCTCAATGCCACTCAGAGGAGGAGAGCAGTTGACCTTCGTGGCCACGAGTTTAAAGTGAAAGGCACACTCCTGCTTGTTTGATGTTGAAATAAAATTGCATTGACAAGAACAATAATTCCTATGTGGAATGTTTAAAAGAGAAATAAGTATCCATGAAAAAATACATTCAAGCAGGTTTGATACAAATTAATTAAACAAACTTAGTTTTAGTTTCATAAATGTGTTTCAGAAAAGTACACATGTATTATACTTGATGATTTAAATACATTTTAATAAACTATTACCGTATTTACCTGAATATAAGACGAGGATTTTTTCCAGTTTGTATCCTTTAAAAATCGGGGGTCGTCTTATACTCGCGTATGATGAAAAATTTGCATATGAAGAAAACGCAATATCAACGGTATTATGTTGTTCCTGAAATAATACAAGTTATCTTCACAAAGAAAAGTCATTTGTAATAGAAATTCCTCTTTTTTCTTATTGGATGTGTTTATAATTGAAGTAATAAGATGTAGAATAATTTCCTAAGCCGTTGCACAGAAGCGTTAGATAGGATTTAAGTATTTCTTAGCGGCAGCTAGCAGTGTTGTAACAGCTGTGACGTCGCCAAAGCCTTCCTCGTGGCCAACGAGAGAGGTACTCGCCTTCCTTCCCCATCCGCGTCGTAGAGTACCGCGACTTTAGTAGTCGTTTGGTAGTCGTGTTCGTGGTTGTGTTGTGTTGCTGTGCTGATACATTAGTGTGGCAATAGCCGACCACCTGGAGCAAAGAGGAAGTGTAGAACTTACCAGAAATGTGGAACAACGTAAAAATTAAGACGCAAACATTAAATTGCGAGTGATTCATCTCGCTGTACAACGTTATTCAATATGTGAAGCAAATGTACGGCGTTGGAAAGGTATGAAGGAACGCCTGAAATCTTGTAATTCTACAAGAAAATGATTCCGTGGACCATAAGTGCGGCGCCATCACGAAATCGACGATTAAGTTTTCGTATTTGTAACTAAGGTTTCGGAGTTTCTAGTTTCTATAAACAGCATTCACATGAGAGCATTAACAGAAGCAAGAAGGAGAAATATTGCCAGACAGGAAATAAATGCGAGAGTCGGCTGGTGCATACGGTTTATGAGAAGGAAAGGGTTCAGTCTGCGTAGAAGAACTTCCCTATCGCAAAAGCAGCCTGCAAATTATGAAGAAAAACTTCTGGAGTACCAAAAGTACATTATACAATTGCGCCATCAACACAACCATTTATTGAGTCAAATGGGGAATGCAGATGTGCCCCCGTATACTTCGACATACCTTCTAACAATAAGAGTGGTTACGAAAGGGTGTAAATTCAGTTATGATAAAAACATCTGGAAACGAAAAAATGCAAGTTCCGGTCATGCTGGAAGTGTTGGCAGATGGCAGGAAGATACCACCATTTGTTATCTTAAAAAGGAAGAATTTGTCCGAAGAAAAACTACCAAGAGGAATAACTTTTAAATGCAAAGTCTAAAAGTCTCGGTTTAAATAAATCTGGGTGGATGACTGAAAGCTTAATGATTTCTTGACTTCAAGAGGTTACCGGGAGTCCTATTACAGCAGAGAAGATTGTTAAACCTTGATGCCTTAATAAGCCACCTTACAGAAGGGAAAAAGGAAGTAGATAGTTCAAAAAACAGATCTGCCTCTGTCAGTCTGTCTGCCAGCCTGCCCCTCTGCCTCTTGGCCAGTCTGTCTTTCTGCCTCTTTGCCAGTCTGTCTTTCTGCATCTTTGCCAATCTGTCTTTCTGCATCTTTGCCAATCTGTCTTTCTGCCTCTTTGCCAATCTGTCTTTCTGCCTCTTTGCCAGTCTGTCTCTTTGCCTCTGCCAGTCTGTCTCTCTGCCTCTGCCAGTCTGTATCTCTGCCTCTGCCAGTCTGTCTCTCTGCCTCTGCCAGTCTGTCTGTCTCTCTGCCTCTGCCAGTCTGTCTGTCTCTCTGCCTCTGCCAGTCTGTCTGACTCTCTGCCTCTGCCAGTCTGTCTCTCTGCCTCTGCCAGTCTGTCTGTCTGTCTGTCTCTCTGCCTCTGCCAGTCTGTCTGTCTGTCTCTCTGCCTCTGCCAGTCTGTCTGTCTGTCTCTCTGCCTCTGCCAGTCCTCTGTCTCTCTGCCTCTGCCAGTCTGTCTGTCTCTCTGCCTCTGCCAGTCTGTCTCTCTGCCAGTCTGTCTCTCTGCCAGTCTGTCTCTCTGCCAGTCTGTCTCTCTCAGTGCCTGTTGGAAAGCATTCACTCTTCGAAGACTCTTTTACTGCCTAATAATTTCTCCGAGCTCCTTTCGTAGAGAGAGAGACCGACTGGAGAAGAGAGAGAGAGAGATGTTAGACCCGACTGGCACACGAGAGAGAGAGCAGAGAACAGTCGACTGGCCAGAGAGAGGAGGAGAGACCGACTGGCAGAGAGAGAGAGAGAGAGACCGACTGGCAGACGAGAGAGAGAGAGACCGACTGGCAGAGAGAGAGAGAGAGAGACCGACTGGCCAGAGCGAGAGAGAGAGACCAGACTGGCAGAGAGAGAGAGAGACACGACTGGCAATAGAGAGAGAGAGAGACGACTGGCAGAGAGAGAGAGAGGAGCGAGACGGACTGGCAGAGAGAGAGAGAGACCGCACTGGCAGAGGAGAGAGAGAGACCCAGAAAGCAAGAAGAGAGAGTGAGAGCCAGACTGCCAGAGAGAGAGAGAGAGGGACTGAGGAGACGAGAGAGAGACAAGATGGCAGACGAGAGAGAGAGAGACACGGACTGGCAGAGATAGAATGAGAGAGACGACTGCAGAGAGAGAGACGAGGACGACTGGGCAGAGAGAGAGAGAAGATGTAAGGCGACCGACTGGCAGAGAGAGAGGAGAAGAGAGAGAGACCGATCTGGCAGAGAGAGACGAGAGAGGAACGATCGGGCAGAAGAGAGAGAGAGAGACCGACTGGAGAGAGAGAGAGAGAGAGAGACCCGACTGGCAGAGAGAGAGAGAGAGAGACCGACTGGCAGAGCGGAAGAGAGAGAGTGACCGACTGTGCTGAG